TGGTATCAAAGCAATTAACTGCTTACAACTAGCACTCGATGATTGACAGCATGAATAGTGGCAGTAATCACGAGAATTCTTATTTTTAGTTTTTGGCATTCAACATTTAAATGACGTCTTTAATTATCGCTAAACAAAGAGTGAAGATTTCGCGGATTAAAGATCATCATTGACTGTTTAGAATGAATGAATGACTGGTGATGACATAAAGGCATATATTTGTGATGAGTCATTACTGCAATGGATGATTAAATAAACAAATAAAATTTTCTTTGCAAATAAACCAAACTGGAGAAAAGCAACGAACCTTTCGCTGAAATGTCCAATACGAGAATCGATTTCACTGAGTTGCACGGTCACGTTTTCAACCCGAGCTGTTAAACTGTTGTTCATAATCAGTGGCACCATATCAATTGTAATATTCGTTCCTGAACGGGTTTAGCTCGATTGCATTCAAAATAAAGCATGTTATCTGGATATGTTAGATAATGATCTTTAATGATAGCAACATAAATAAAATGCAAATAACACAGTATTACTAATGAAGCTATTAACTACAATTTGTAACCTAATCGAAAAAGTCGACTGGTTTGGTTTGTCCATGGTGAAATGAATGAATCGAGAAACATTGATGCGGTTGCATGAACACCATTTGGTGCCACATTGATTAATGGTGGCCTCTGGGCTGTTACAAAGCGAAAATCGACGTACTCATTCGGATATTCTTCACGAAGCTTTGGGAAGAGTCGACCGATACAAGGCGATAGAAGTGAACAACTGAAAGTGAATTCTTCTGAAACATTTAATAATATTCATTGTTACTCGATGAAATTATGAAAGTGATAAGTTGGCTGAGCTCTATAAAGCTCGTTCACACAACGTCATATGATATCATTTACGATAAAGATGGTCATGGGCAGGTTCAATAGAGCGCTGAGGGAGTCAAATAAGCACTTGACTTGACGTATGATGAATGATTTTTGATATCGAAAAATAGAACGGAAAGTGGATAAAGTTAAGACACACTGTGTAATAGAAAAAGGTATCGCGCGAAATAATGAAAGACATTTCAGAGCAGTCTTATTCGTTGCTTGTTCAATATCCCACATTTAATGCAATGCAATCATCACTCGCGATTCTTAAACTGGACTGAATATTCAATTAGTATTTATTGTAACAGCTCATATTATAATTAATTCAATATCAATTATCATTCAAATTATTTGCAATACATAATCATCCTCTTTCATTTGGCTGATATCAGGAACAAGCGATAAAACGAATAATTTCGATCGTGCATAATCAACAATTGATCTGATATTTTCTATTTGTAAAAATAGGACACTCACCTTGTACTTAGAAATGATTTCAATTTACCACCATCGAAATCCTTATCGACAACAAAGTTCAGCAGTCCACTTGTATGAGCAGAATTCAAGAGGCAATTGGGAATGTGCTGAGAGACCCAAAAATCGACCATATAATTTAAACTCTCGACATCTAAAAAGAGCAGCAAACTTTACGTTTACAGTTATAACTTTATTACTATTTGCATTAGTAATACTGCTATCAATAGGATTATTATTATTGCTATAATTACTGTTGTTCTTAACGCCATTGTGGTTATTTATCACTGTTATACATTGAAACACAGTCGTGCGATTGCAATGCGGACACAACTGAGAAGCACCTCAAATCCGATGGATTCACTTGATGGTTTTAGACCAAGCTGAACATAACAAAAAGCATTTCGAATAAACTTTTCAATTACCGCGATCCATTCGAGCGACGGGTAAATCGCACGTGGTATTTCCATAAACGATGTCCGAATAAACTTCTGCTTCGATGAAGTCTTTCGTAGCCAATGGCTTTCTCTGAACGACAAATAATGAATGAAAGATTTTTTTGGGTTGTTCAATAGTCATTAAACAATGGCTGCATTGCTTTAGTGCTAAGACAGAGCGATTGAAACAGCTGAATTTGAAGTGAACTCAGCGAGGTTCCGTTGAAAAAGAGACATTTGTGTGTTGTAATTCTATGAACAGGAGCCACGGATCGTATGAATTTTCAGGATTCTCGGAAGAAGACAATTAAAAGTAGCGCACATGTTAATGAAGGAAATCTTGAATGATTTTGTTGAAAATATCACATAATTTGACTGCAAAAATAATGATTATATAATCTCAGTGGGATATGATCAATGAATATATATGAAATGATTTCACACTTATTACGTGATAAAAATGTGTACATACATACTTCGCATCTATAGTTGACATAAAGGTTGTTGGCCACTTGAATATGAGTGGGAAGTGATAGAAGAGCCTCGTTCGCTTCTTGCAATAACACCGTTTCTAGAGTGGTACAGAACTGAAATAATAAGGACCATAATTTAACAACAAACCGCGATTATCTTTTAGGTTGGCGAGAAATCATATTGAAAATTTCAAAGGACTAACAGTTTTCCAGACTCGAAAGCATTTTTAAAGGTGCACGAAGAAAGAAAAAATGGGGTAATCGATATTCGGTGTTCACAAAGAAGAGCATGTGCTTTAATTAGTCGCAAGAATTGCAGATGAATGAATGCAATATGGCGAATTCAATTTTGATACACATTCATGCTTTCATAAACCATGAAAAATGTGCGAAGAAAGGATTATTTTGACGAAGAAAAAAAAATTTTGAATGCTAATACAATGTTATTCATTTGTCTTGGAAACGACTACTAAGGCTGTGGCACAAGGTGGCGATCTGAGTTCAACATGGTTGAGAATCACTTTATCTTAATATGTCAACAAAACAACGCTGACAGCTTAAAGAGACTGTAACATTAGACGAAGTACGACGTAATGTCGCATCTTATCAATATGGTTACATAAATGCTTATCTAAAATTACGCACTCAATCGAGAAAATGATACCTGAGAGCGTATCTCTTCTTTGATTAAAGCAGATA